AAATTCGAATATTGGTTTGATTATAGAACGATTGTAAACGTTCCAGAAACGTTGAAAATAGTTTGTTTGACTGGACGTGAACAGGAGACGTTCAGAAATAGAATCGGGGCCAGGTCTTTAATTAGTCTGGAAACGGGGGACCTAATTCTTGCATTCTGTGAAAACGGGTAAGATTGTCTATAATGTAATTATCTTAATCTTCACTATCATTACTTTTTGCCCACAAATCAAAACCCAGTGAAGCGGGTCCTTGCAGCTAGATTCTAGATTAGTTAGAAAAACAGTCTTTTATATATAAAAACAAACTGTATTACATACAAATAAAAACCCAGCAAAGTGGGTCCTTGCAGCTAGTTTATTAATAAAATAATAACATGCTACAGAAAATATTTGCATTGATAATACAGGATTTTATTGAATGAAAACAAATTAAAAGTTGTCATAAATCATACAAATAAATATAATTAAATGTGATCGTAGGGTCAGTATCTTTGACACCATGTCAGGATGTGACACCACGAATCTCTCAGAACCTGGAAATTGCGACGGAAAGTTCTTATGTCACGTGAACGGTCGTGGGTAAGTGGTTGGATTCGGAGTAGAGGTGAGGAGAGAGAAATGAGGAAGTGATTCACTCAGATTCCAGATTAATAAACAATAACAAATTTATTTTAGATATATAATATATGATCATAGTCATCTTGGATTGATATATGGCCTATATTCCTACCTAGATTATCGAATCTAACTGTCATGAGAGAGAGAGTTTACAGGATATTCGCATGTGGATAAATACCTTATAAAGAAGTCGAGGATTGATGACTGGATGATTTGCCGTCAAGATTCTTGGGGTGTTTGATGAAGTGTTCTTGCTATTTAGTGTTCAGGTAACAAGAGCAACTTTGGAGGAAGGTATCCGACTTGTGTTGAGGCACCTAGATGTGTAAGGTATTGTGAGGGCCCGGATTTAGGATTTGAGTATTTTTATTCATTAGGTTAAAAGTTAGGGTTAACTCAAAACTAGAAAAACAACCAACAAATTTTCTCGTAAAAATCGCTCATAAAACTCTGTTCCCACAGGGATACTTCCTTGTAGAGGATGAGTTAACAGTTGTGTCATAAATTTGTCACTTTGCCCACTATTGGTCAAGGAAGCTCATCACCTATGACGTACATGGGGAAATCTCGAAAACAGACTCCCCATATAAAAGGCAAGTGTGATGATGACACAGAGGGTTCCTGAAGTTATTTTTCTATACTGTGAGTGTGCCCGTGGATTACCTGCCTCTCGTTGCCACCGTCTTCAATAGACTTTGATTACGACTTTGAACTTTGACTTCGAACTTTGGACTGAATTACGAACTTGGAAAGAACAAGAACTCGGATCAACCCGACATCAACGTTGTAACTAGAGATATTTATTCCACTCGCGAGGATATGTAAGCTCTCTCTCGAATATTTTCAACTCACGATTAGGGTCGCAACTAATTTATATTTTGTCCGCTATCAAACCCTGAAACCTATGAATTACGGATTGAAAATTCCAAGAGGGAACTGTAACCTCAATTCCTGAATTAATTATCAATGAAAACTGTTCAACAATAAACGGGTATGTAGTTAATGAACTTGGATTGGTGTGCGTTTCTTCCGACATTATCATCTCCATACTGAACCCGGAGTCCTCGACAAGATCAGTCGTGATAATTCCTCCTCAAATTAAATGCTAAGAATATCTGCTAAGAAATGATAGATTGGTGTTAGATCCTGATGTGAAATAAGGATCTAGTGATCCTTAACTTTAAAACCCTTCCGCTCAAAAGAACTCATCCTTTAGACAAGTGAGACCGGATCTCAAGATCTTGAGTCGAGTAAGTGGTAGGAGAGTCAAGAACTCTTAAACATCTTACCCTCAATTAGTCTCACAGTATCCTTATGATAAGGTTGGCGGAGGCATGGTATTTTGCATGTTATAACTCTTGGGGAGGCGATCTTTGGAGGACGACTGACTGGATTTGTCATCGCTCTCTCTTGTTGTTTGGGTTTTTTCCATGAGGTCAGGAGTCTGTAAGGGCCTGGTGTCCAATACTGGAAATTTATTGAAAGTTTCAGGTGACACATAAATCACTAGATGGACCATCCTCAACAAGGAAAAAGTCCGTGGAAAACTATTTTTATGATAGCTCTTAATAAAATAAAAATCGAAGTCAAACGACGAAATTGTAAAATGACCAAAAGTCAAGATAACACTTTCTTGAGGGTCCCTTAGTCCCTCACATAAATAACTTGGACTTAAGACATGTATTTTTACAGTAACAATGACTGTACCACTTATAAATTTATTAAATGTGTAAATACAAAGCATTGGCATGCAGTTATTATTTAATAATAATTGAAATAATATTTAATTTAGTAACTTTAGCTTATTATATTAAATTTTCAACAAATTTTAGTTTGTCTGCAAATTTGATCAGAATTTCAAAAAAAATTTTGAATGTTTTTGCTGATTTTTCAATATTAATTAAATGAACTAATGAACAAAATTTATTTTCATTTTGCTTTTGTGCTTTTATCTATATTACAGTGAAATTTTGTTAACCCAGCATCTGGTATGCTGGCAAACCCAATAAACCAGTGTGTTCAGCTCCTCATTGGGGTTATTGGTTTGTTTTTTATCATTGTCATTGACAACTTTTGATATAAACATTGTGAAAACATATGAAGGCGAAGAGGACATGATGATATGTTAGGTAAAACCAGTTAGTACATAAATGATTTTTCTAAAAACTTTTTCAAATACATTAGTGCCCAGGTTTGATATGACAAACTACAGCTTACTTAGTATGATATTTAGTGTACTTGGAACTACTGTACAGTACACTACTGTTCACATACTTTGGTAATTAGAGTATGTCTATATTTATATGCAATAAAAGTGTACAAAGAACAAAGTAAGAATAGTAGATTTTTGTTTCAAGCTAACCAAGGGTAGGAATAGCCTGGAAAAATTAAATTGACAAGTTAAACAATCATTAAAGGTGGATTTGTACAGTTTTACCTGTAATATATAAAATTGTGTCCAGGGGATTGAAAAAATTCAGAAACTTTCACTGTTTGATAAGATAGCATAAGTTATATGATAATCCAGTATTGTCAGTCCTGATGATTTCAAGTTAATGGAGTTTCACTGTAATTGAAATAGATAAAATTATGTCTAGTTTTTAAATTTGCAGCATGAATCTAATTATAAAATTTTTAATATTGTAAAATTTGTATCTGGTTATAGATAATGATAAAATTCAAATCAAATTTAAAATATTTTAAGCAATTTTTGGATAAAACTTGTTTGTCTTAAAATATTTTTAAAAACAGTTTATTTAAGCCCATTTATATTTATTTTCAATGGTTAAAAGTTCCATCAAATATAAATTGAAAATAAAAATGATTTGCTTTACTGAAATGTATACTAAATTAACATGTATAGATTTTAGTATTGCAAGTAACTGTTTATCATAAATTAACAAGGGATCAACGCTAAATCTGGAACCTGTTACCAGTGTAAATAGTGAGAAGATAGGGATCCTTTGTAACTATCAATTGTTGATTTGAACCAAATTTAGTACATATGAGTTATCTACAATCATGCATTTGGTTTTGAAATAAACCATTGTTACAGACATGGTAGGTGTTGAAATAATTGAGAAATTACAAATAATACAATAATAATGTAATTTATTGGTATAATAGCATTGCAAATTATTTTATAGTTTGTAATAATGAGATTAATTCAAATTATGACAAAAATGGTGTATACAGTAAGTATATATAATAAGTACAATAAAATAACAATATCAGGTTTTTCTTAATTTTTCTCAATGTTATTTTATTACTTGAGTTTTAATTTAGTTTAAATTGAAAGATAGTTGGAAAGGATCCTTTACATGTGTGAAAAAATGTAATATTTTATGCACTTTTCAATTGATTTGAGACTAAAAGTGATTCTTAAATTAAAAAAAGAAGCATTTACTAATCAATATTAACCTAGATTAAATATAGGTTACCAATACTATATATTAATTTACATTTATAATAATTTTCAAAATTTAAAAAATTTTTATATAAGATACATATTTCAAAATCACTCATACTTAAATAAGAGTTTTATATTTAAGAAATTCATATATCTGAAATTGTTAATTTTTTGAAATATTATTCAGAAAAAAATAGAACTGAAATTATTTTAAAATGTTGATTTTCTAGATACAGTTTAGTTTCTTTTATTCGATATTGGATAATACAAAGTCCCATTTATTATTAAATCATTTTCTTGTCTTGTGAACAAAGATAGGGATTTTAATGTAAAGCTGTTTAGTTAATATGTAATATGAAATGTATTTTTGTTCCCAGAATACAGGCATCATTTTCAGCACAGCCAAAAGCATAGTGGCAGTGCTGGAAAATGTTAGTGTGTTTGACTGACTATTTGCCAGAACTTTTGAGTCACTTTAACAAGTTAAATGATCTTGTAAAGAACACATAATGACAAAAATAGTGCAAATACATATTGATTCATTTTTCAAACAGCATTAAAACAAAATTTGCATTAATAAAATACCACACCTTTATAAGTGACACTATGTACCATAAGGGTTTTTATTAATATTTTCAGCACAGCGAGGTGCCATCTTGAATAAAACCTAGTTGTGATTTAAGTTAGTTATTGCTTATTTGAATCTTGAAATGGTTTGGGGATGCAATGTAGCTTGTAATTATATGTTGAGTGGCAGAAACATCATGATCCAATTGAATTTGGTTAGTATGAACCTTGTTACTATGAAGTCTGCATATTTTTTAGTCTCCTGAACTTCATAATAAAGAGCTTATACTGTATGCTGGTCTCTTGAATGTAAATTTATTATTTAAGCATGATTATAAAGTAATAAAATTATTTTGTAGTTGAATTAAAATCCAAGATTATATTATTTCTATAATTTATTTTTCAGGTGATTTGCTCCCTGCTGATGGCATTTTAATACAAAGCAACGATGTGAAAGTTGATGAAAGTTCTTTAACAGGAGAATCAGATCACGTCAAAAAAGGGGAGAATTATGATCCAATGTTGTTTTCAGGTAATAAACTTCACAATTATTAAAAATATAAATTTATTATTCAAAAATATACATTGAAAATTCTTATAAGAAAAAAAATATATAATATGATAATCAAAAGTGGACTTGCTTTGCAGTTAAGCAACTATTAAGATAGTTGACTTAGAAATTAAAATATTTATTTATATTATACAATACACTTAAAATACTTACACTTGCATCTAATTCTTATTCTGATATTTCAAGCGATACTTGTTTTGTGACCAGTATTTGCAAACTAAATTTTAAAAAGTTGTAACATAATGGGTGCCATCATGTTTTTTAATTTAATTCTGTCATGTGCTTTTAATACTGAGAAAACAAAACACACTGTTTTTGCAATGACAAAATTTATACATTTTAAAATCTGCTTTGACAAAGGAAACAAGAAGATATGAATATGTTATGTATTAAAAAAAATTCTATAAAATAGTAATGTTGTTGATCTGAAATTATTAGGTTCTAAAGCAAGAGAGAGTATTCTTTAAAATTTTTAAATGTGGTATTTTTAGAAATTGCATTTATCAGAATAATACATATGAACATATCACTACAGAGTGATTTTAAAATATAAATTAAAAGTAATCTTTATTGCATCACAAATACCAGATATTTTAAATATAATTGTTGTAATTTCCAATTTTCTTTTAAGTGCATTTGTTATAGCAGTGTAGAGTACTTCAATTATTTAAGATTTTGAAGCTTCAATTTATATTGGTAAAATTTATTTATAATCAAAACAGCAACAGATTATATTAAAAACAATGTTATGCTGTTTTTATACTTCAATGAACTTCATAATTTAAATTACCAAAAAAAAAAAAAAAAATGATTATGAACTGCACTCGCTCCTACATGGCATTCTTCTTTTATTCAAGATTAAAACTTTTTAATTTAATACAAAATAGTATTAAATTAAAAAGTTTTAATCTTGAATTTAATCTCTTGTTAAAATGTTTAAAATATTTGCATAACTTAGGTTTTTAAAAAGTAGTTTAATTATATTTTTTAATATAATAAAATGTTTTATTACATTAAAATATACATATATATCTTATTATTATTATTTAAATATATATTGATTCTTGTAGGTCACTTAATAATTTTTTTTGTGATTTTTAGCACAAATGTAATGGCCATTAGTCTGTTTTTACACACTGCTTAATTTTATTTTCTTAATTTATAAGAAGTTTTCAATATAAATTTGAATACAGATGAGTAAAACTTTAAAGCTTGACTAGTGCTTGTTTTTATTTTTCCAGTTTTCAAAATGCATTACAGTAACAAACTCCTTATGAGTTTATTATATATTTTATGTGAAATAAATTTTTATTTAATGAAATATAACAATGTAGTAAATATTGTTGTATATGATAAACATGGAATATATCGAAAGTAAGCACTTTTTGTTATGCATTGTTGTCGTCTAAATTTAACTTCCATTCCTAAATCTTAAAAATTATTTTATTTGATAANTCCTTAGTAAACATAGGTTGAGAACTGAACTGTTTTGGCCATTAGTCTGTTTTTACACACTGCTTAATTTTATTTTCTTAATTTATAAGAAGTTTTCAATATAAATTTGAATACAGATGAGTAAAACTTTAAAGCTTGACTAGTGCTTGTTTTTATTTTTCCAGTTTTCAAAATGCATTACAGTAACAAACTCCTTATGAGTTTATTATATATTTTATGTGAAATAAATTTTTATTTAATGAAATATAACAATGTAGTAAATATTGTTGTATATGATAAACATGGAATATATCGAAAGTAAGCACTTTTTGTTATGCATTGTTGTCGTCTAAATTTAACTTCCATTCCTAAATCTTAAAAATTATTTTATTTGATAAAATGATGACTGTGATGGATTTAGTGCAGTCTTTCTATTACTGTTTACCATTTTATGTAGTGAAAAAAAAGGAGCATCTATTTAATAAAGTAATATCCCAAATGTATTGAGGATAGCCAAAAATAAGAATTTTATGTTTTATTAATTTCATAAAATAACTAATGGATTTTTAAAAGTTCTGTTTAATGAGAATAATCAAGTGACAGTAGTAATGTTCAAACAACAGTTTTAATCTAAATATATAAAATTGCTTGTCCTGACTGACTCACTCATTCATTCACTGATTCATCATCGCCCAGAGCAAACCGCTTAACCTAAAGAGGTGAAATTTGGTACACAGTTAGGGTACGTCATGGAAACGCACACTAAGAAAGGATTTTTCGAAATTCCAACGCGGGGGGGTGAGGGAGAGCATTAAGGCTTAACCGGAAGAACGGCTTCTACTGCGCTATTTTAGATGCGATTTTTTGTTTTTATCTGCGTTGTAGTAGGGTATGCCATGAGAATGTACACTAAGAAGGGATTTTTAGAAATTTCCCCGCGGGGGGTGAGGGAGAGAATATAGTTTTCATCGAGTACTTAGGTGTATTAAATTAATAACATTTCAGACATTGTTATAAATATTTTTATCTATTTCGATTTTAAAAATGTTCGAACCGTTTTAAATTCGAATTTGTTATTGCGTATTGGTTCGATTATAGAACGATTGTAAACGTTTCAGAAAATTGATCAAATTGAAAATAGTTCGTTTGATTTTCGGCAATTCTCTTCAGCGGTAGGTGTTATATAACAATTACTATGGTTATTGAAATATTGGATGTAAATGGGGTTTGCTTGCAAAACCTCCGCTGACGAAGTCGCGGGTAACAGCTAGTTGTAAATAAGTCTGGTTAAGATATTTCATAATAATCTTTGGTTAAAAGTATATTATAATTAATTTTTCATTAAAATCATCTTTTATAAAGCAAGTAAAAAAAAATTCCATTTTTTTTGTTCTAAATTTTTGTATGTAGTTAGAATTTCAATTAAAACTCTAATGTGGTTGTGTGTGTTTAAAACTCTAATTATATATGAGTAATTTGAGGTATAAATATGTGAATTTAACTACATAGGAAGTGCATATAATTTATTAAAAGCATAGTATGAAAATTTTTCTTCAGTTACAGGTGCTCCCCTTCTTATGAACATGTTAGGTTCTTGAGGTTTTGTCAAAAGTCAAAACAAACCTAAGAAGTACATTTGTACACAGAATAACCAGTTATTGTTACTGTTTAATCGTTCAATATACTTGAGAGAATACATTATGCTCATTTACCTGCTTGCTTGAAATACTTAGTAACAAGTATTTCAAATGCAGATTTTTCATCTAATGCACTCAATTTTATATTGTTCAGTTTAGTTTCCATGATAACATAGCAACACTTCTTGTATTTATTTCCATTTCTAGATTTACTATTATGTTTTGGATTCATTTCTGAATCAGTACTTGCAAAAATTTATAAAAAAATTGCAAATAGCAAAAATCTCAATACTCCAATGTTCTTCAGCACAAAACCTTAGAACTTTCACAAAATTTAAATTTTAGACCTAAAATCAAATTGTTGGTAAGTCTGAAAATTCACAGGTTGATAAATATTTGTAAATAGGGAAGAATCTATATTGTAATAGCAATAATTGAATATTATTATAATATTTTAGCTTCAAGTAAATATTACAATAATTGTATAATTTTAATTTCATTTAAAATATTTATTTTCTGTATAGAAGTTTATTTTAATCTGGATTCTTTGGCCTCAGTCAGTAATGAAAATCCATAATATCAAGACTTCATATTTCTATTATATTTGCAATGCTATATTGTGATTTCTATTATCAAGTAAAGATTCCTTTTAGCTTTTATCATCATCTGTGCTTAATTTTTTTTTTTTTTTTTTTCAGAATTGTCCATAACCAGTTAAATGAAAAATTTAAGGTTTCATTACATTTTATATTTTGGCTGTTTTTAATAAAAATTTAATTTGGATTTATTCTCTGTTTATGTCTAGATAATTATTTCTACAGTTTGTTGGAAAAAAAGAATTTAGAATTTATATGGTAGGTAGTACTGAGTAACAGTCCTTAGTAAACATAGGTTGAGAACTGAACTGTTTCTGATGAAATACTTCTACAAATATCTGGAATTTTTGAGAGGGTTTATAACATTGTGATGATGCCAAATGTATATTAAAATGAAAGGATTTTTGGGTCAGCATAATATTGAGCTAAAGATTTGGCAAGATTATTATTTTTTCACCTTGTAAGTATGACCCAAAGCCAATAAGTCAGTTATAATACTAATATATAAAATTGTTAATATCTTAGAAATGGTTAAGTTTTTGACGTGTGTTTATTAAGGTTTTTATTCAGTAGGTGTGCACTATCTAGCGTATAAATGCTGAAATTTTCTTTTTTACACCTTTTATATTTTGTTTATAACATTGGTTGTCTGTCATTTGCTATAATGGTGTTGTTTTAATCTTTAAAATATCTAATTAGGAATGCCAGCAAAAAATTTACATGACATGTTAATTATAATTGAATGGAGACTACAGATTCTAACTGAAATGTATGTAAATACTTATTGCTATGAAGTTCAGTACCTCAAACCAGCTTTAAAATAATAATGTCATTTACTACAATTCTTAAAATTATGATAAATTGATTTTATTTACAATAACAATAAAAAGGAAAGAGTGGTGCAGATTAGGAATGACAATTATATAGATTTTTAAAAATTATCTCAAGAGATTGTAAAAATGTGTAAAATTAACATTGTTGTTTTATTACAAAAATAATAATAATTCTAATATTTTTAAAATCTAAATGTAGTTTTGAAAACTGAATACTAGGTATTGTAATTAAAATATTTATAGTTTCAAATGCATATTCTAAATAGCCAAGAAATATAAATACCATAAATTCATCAATGTAGAAGAATATTATGCATAAGTTGTCACATAGTTGGTACTAAATACTACAAAAGCTGTTTTTAACTTGAAATTTTATAAAAGAACCAAATATTGAATTTAAAAAAAAATGCTGAAATTATTTTGTTCAGAATTGTTTTTCATTTATGTAATTTTAACTTATAAACCTGAAACAATATTTACAGCATTCTATAATAATTGCCATTAAGTTTTTAGCTTTTAAATATGTGAAAGATGGACAACTATGGCTTTTAGAAATAAGAACAAAAGTAAGTGAACGATAATTTTATCTTTATCTAATTATATTATTATTTATGACTAATTAAATAAAACATTGGGCTGATTGAAATCTTTCTTTAAGATAAGAATAGAATACAGTCTGTGGAATGCTTTTCTTAAGTTTTAAGTATCTAAATAGTCTAGCAGATTTAAGTAAATTTTCTGTTACTAGTTTTGTACTGTTGATTTTAAAGAAAAGTTTTGGGCTTTTTTTCTTCAGTAACACATCACACAAGGAGCATTTGTTGCTATTGATTATATTGTAGAAAATGTATTTCAGGTTTTAATGACCCCTCTTTGGTCCAATTCTTTAAAATCAACAGTCTAGTAGATGTTTCTTATTTGAAAGTGATAAAAATCAACTCATAGAAGTAAAAATAGGAAGTTAAGTATGAGTTTTTAAATTAAATTAGTTACAAAAAACTATTTTATTTAAAAGTTTAAATTTGTATTTTGAAATATTTAAACGAATATTTAAAATAAAAGATTGGGAGAATCAGTAATTATAAAATTGCTCTCTTCTGCGTGGCCTTACATTCTGGCACTTAAACAACCATTTAAGTTTCTTAATATAGTTGCATTTTAAATTCCTTTCATATGAGCAAGATAAATTGATTACCCTGTCGTTGACCTCCCTTAGAAGTGCTTGGTCCTTTTTATAAAGTTCATCTTCAATCTGTATAAGATTATGCAAAAACGTATAATATTGCCTCCTTATAGTTCTGATAGCCTTGTTGAGGCAAAAATACTTTAGCTTCAGTAACAAGGAGGCACAACCCATCGGAAGTCTGATGCAATATATAGACATTGGAAAAACCCCATTCATACGGCATTGTGAAAGGAATTCGAACTTTGTTCTTGCCTTGCAGAGTTTAAGAACAAAGTTATATGAGGAATTAGATTACATAAGGAGAACAGTGGTACAGCAAGGATACCACAGAAGGGAAGTCGAAGTACTTATTACGAGACTACAGAAACAAAACCGGCAACATCTCGAAGAAAAAGTGTGGTTCTTAATTACTTTCCGTTTCTAAACAAGATGATTAGGAAAGTTGCCAACAAAAGTAATCTACGAATAATATATCGGCGCAATCCAACTGTGTACAGATTGTTAAGGAATGATAAGAAGAAGGATAAATGAAATAGCATGATGGGGGTATATTCTATACCTATAAAAGATCGTCAGTTTAACTCTGACCTCGTGTATATTGGGGCAACTATGTGGAGCTTAAAACAAAGGATAAATGAACACAAATATTCTGTGAGTAGGAACATCGATAGTACTGTGCTTGCAGCATTTGCCAAGCAACAAGATATAACCATATTCTGGGATCGAGCGGCAGTCATTAGAGCTAAGATATCTTTACAAGCTGTGAGTTATCTTGAAAAAATAGAGATACACAAAGCGCATATAACCATGGAATGTATTAATCACAGGGATGCTGAGGTATTAGCCACTGCTTGGAAGTCCTTTTATAATAACACAAGTTAATATATGTATCCGTATGGACGACACTATTATTTATTTTACGTTTATTTGTTTATATTTTTATTTTATGCTTTTGTAATCTGAATAACCCGCAAGCGATTTTTCTGTTGTTCTGAGCAATTGCAGTTTAATTTTATTTATTTTTGTATTGCATAAGTTCGAATACTTTGTTCTTTTTAATATTGGAATAACTGATGAAGGCCGCTAAAATTGGTCAAAAATGTTTTCAGAGAATTAAATGTTTTTGCTGGACCGTTAAAAAGGTGTTATTTATATTATTTTATATTTCGTTTTAGTTCCAGTAAGAATTTATTGGTTATTTATTAATGGCTATGCTGGCCAAACTATATAGAAGAATTGTTCTTAAACTCTGCAAGGCAAGAACAAAGTTCGAATTCCTTTCACAATGCCGTATGAATGGGGTTTTCCCAATGTCTATATATCGCATCAGACTTCCGATGGGTTGTGCCTTGTTGTTACCGAAGCTAAAGTATCTTTGCCTCAACAAGGCTATCAGAACTATAAGGAGGCAATATTATATGTTTTTGCACAATCTTATATGGTTTGAAGTGAACTTATAAAAAGGACCAAGCACTTCTAAGGAAGGTCAACAACAGAGTAATCGATTTGTCTTGCTCATATGAAAGGAATTTAAAACGCAACTATATTAAGAAACTTAAATGGTTTTTTAAGTGCCAGAACATAAGGTCACGCAAAAGAGAGACTTAATTTATAATGACTTGGGGTGATGATATAAAATTACTGATGTGCATAAAGGGAATAACAGACTGACAGACAAAGACAAAATATTTTATTCTTCTTCTGTTGTAGATATTTAAACAATTGAACATGAGATTATCAGTAACCCCTTTTGGGCTGAAGAAGACATTTGTTACTCCATTGCTAATTGTATTCACACTGGTTAATGGTTGATGTGAGTCGTATTTTAAAAATTAATATATATTAAAAGTATTTCAGGATAAATGTTTATAGATGTAAAGTTTAACTAAGTCATAAAGTGTATTAAAAATAAGCATTTTAATGACTTGTTTTTGGAAATCTCAATTTGATATATCCAATGTACAATACATTAAAAATTCTTCTTAATTGGATCATTGAACTGACTTTGAAGGTTTATGAAAGTTATCCAAGGATTAATATTTTTTACCCAGTTCTCACATCATTTCATTTGTTATTCTAACCACATCTATGAAACTCCACTTACTGACTTCAGGTAGACTATTTTTAAAACAATTTGGATTTGCTGCCTCATGCCAGACATTTTGATTCAACATGACATTTTTGATTAAATGAAAGTTTTATATTATTGTGGTGTTTGTTGAGTACATTCTATTCTGCTTATGTACTGGACCAAGTCAAGGCATAACTACAGAACAAGCTATTATTATGTTTGTGCTATTTGTATTTATGTTTAAGGATTTCCTGAATATGTGACATGTTCAGTATGACTGGTTTTTATAATGTGATTATGTGATGTGTGCTGTTCTGAAGTGTTTCTACAAATTTTGTGTAGGTGTTGTGGTATGACATCTATGCAAGAAAGAACTATTGGCACAATACTTTATTCATTCTCTACAGATGGTTTTTGTATGCAAGTTTTGAGTATTTACTAATTTTTTTCAGTGTATGTATTTGTATATTTTGTATGTTTGCTACAGTTGTATCTATGTGATTTTTTTTTTTTTTTTAGTTTGTCAATGAATGTGATACCTGGTCTGTTGTGATGGATTGTTTTGTCTATTATTATGGCTTGATTATAGTACATTTTGTATGTTTTCTAAGACCATCTTGTGTGTATATTTATAGTATGATGCTGGGTATTTAGTAGTTTGTGTATAAGGTTTTATGTATTATATTTATTTGGTTATGTCAATATGAATAGTTTGGGTTGCAATCTTTTAGCACAAACAATGTGATGTGTTGTATAGTTTCAGGCATAATGTGACATTTACTAAAAGTATTGTCTGTAAGTGTTTTAAAATGTGCCTCCTTTAATTTTTTTGTATTTTTGGCCTAGTCTTGTATGGCAACTATAAACCCTTTTGTGTCTCCAAGAGTCATCCATAAGTCAGCTAGTAGTTAGATGCAGTTCTGTCAATGTGATTCTGGTTGAGTGTGTTAGGTTGTCTATTATGAAGCTTTTCCTGAATACATTCAGGAGAAGCTTCATAATAGAAAGACTGCCAGATGGTGTCTGTTCATTTCGTATATTGTGTGTGAGGTCAGTGTTGTGTATTGCAGTATCTGTATTTATTTTTAGTAAAAATTTAGTATATCTGTAGGTATGTAAGGTAATAGTCTGTCTGTCTATGTAGCTTCTCCGAGCCGGAGGTTGCTAACAACTGATCGCCACTCTTCCCGATCTCTTGCAGCGTGAATTAGTTGATTCTTATTAATTTGAGTCCACTCCACTATATCTCGTAGATAGGTCCTCTGCTGTATTTTTTGGGAATGGGTTCTTTGGATCCTGCCCTGCAGTATGATGAGAAGCAGTGGCCCAGATGGCGTGGCCACAGTACAGTACCTCATTTTGCTATGATGGGAAGCAGCTGTCATTTTCCCACCCCAGTCCGTACCAACATGCGTGCATTGGTCACCCACTGTGTCCGGCTTATCCATAGCAAGCAGTGATAGCACCACATCTTGAATGCTGCCAGCCTTTTCTCTATGCCCTTATTCAGGGTCCACGTCTCACATCCATACAGCAAGATAGACCATACATAGCAGCGTAGTACTTTAAGCTTTATCTCCAGGCTTAGTTTCTTATCTGTAAATGTTTGCTGGAGATTAAAGAAGGCTGCTTTCGCCATTTGGATTCATGTTCGGATTTCCTTATCACATCTACCATCTCTTGTTATAATGGCTCCAAGATATTTAAATTTGGTTGCTTCTTCCAGTAAAGTACTGTCTACAAATATTTGGGAATTGCCAGTCATGGAGTCTTTCCTAATTCTTATCCATTTCATCTTTTTCCCATTGATACACATGCCATATTTTGCGCTGTCTGCCTGGAGTGAGTTTAGTATCTGTTGGAGCTCCATCACGGATGTGGCAATGCATGCAAGATCGTCGGCATACTGGATGTTATTGATATTCACTCCTTTGACCTTGATTCCCACATTCCTGCAGAAACATTTCTGTGTGTTATCTGTTTGGAGAAGACATTAAAAAGTGTGGATATCTGGCACGGTGCTGTTTCTATGTCGTCCAGCCTAACTATGGCAGTCTGGTCCCAGTACAGGTTGCCAATCAGTTTGTAGTCATTTGTGTCCAGATTGACTCTCTTTAACGTTTCCATTAAAAGTGGGTGTTGTACTTTGTCAAAAGCTTTTTCATAATCGATAAACCAAATGTATAACTCCCTTTGCATTTCTATGGCTCTTTCTGATAAAATTCTCACAGCAAATAGTGCATCAAAAGTGCCTATTCCAGGCCTAAACCCAAATTGCGATGGTCCTAACTGAGCCTCCGTTTTGTTTCTTATTCAATATCCTATAATTTTTAGTAATGAGTTTTAGCCTATGGTTCATTAGACTTATGGTTTAGAATTGGTCACACTTTCATCCTTGGGATCAGGATGAAAGTGGATCTTTTGAAGTTGTGTGGTAGCTGTCCATCTTTAGATTTTATTAAAAAGATCTAGTAGTGATAGTTTTGCAAACATGTCCAAGGATTTTAGGAGCTCTGCTGGGATGTCATTATCACCAGGAGCTTTTCCACATCTCATGGAGTCCATGGCACATTCTAATTCTCTTAGTATAATAGGAGGGGGCAGCATCTCCTTCTGTTGAATGAACCTGGGGATGTCTGTTGTGATTTCCAAACAAAATTTTTATGTATTCTGCCAAGTTTTAGCTCTTTCTTACTTTCCACATTTCATTTTGTTCTGTTGTTCTATTAAATTTGTTACTCCCTTCTTTGTTTTCTTCAGTTCCTTCATGGTTTCTTTGATGATTCTATGGACTTTTCTGGTATGGTACTTTTTCTTGTGCTCCGCTATTCTTTCACATTTTTCTTTGAACCACTTTTCTTTAGCTTTGGCACATTCCTGCTTGATCATCCGATGAAGTCTTTTGTATTCTCCAGGGTTTTGGTTCTTAAACTTTCTGCGCTCACCCATCAGTGTCAAAATGTCCTCTGTGATCCAAGGGTTCTTCTGCTCTTTTTCCTTTTTGTTAAGTAGGATACAGGCAGCATTCTTAATTGCACTTTTTATGTTTTCCCAGTGTTTTTCTATAGAGGGTATGTCTTTATCTTGAATTTTTTTTGTAACCGCCTCACTGAAATGTTGCCTGACCTCACATATTTTCAGCTTGTCAAAGTTGTAATGTAATTTCTTTTTGATATTTTTTGTAATTTTCTTTAAGTGAATGGTGTGCCTGGTGTGAAGTAAATTATGATCAGTGTAGCAGTCGGCTGAAGGCCTAGTTTTAACATTGAGAATTGAGTTTCTGTATCGTTTGTTGATCAGGATGAAGTCTATTTGATTTTGTACTATTCTGTTTTCTCTGTCTTGAGGACTTTTCCATGTGTACAGTCTTCGTGGATGTTGTTTGAACCACATGTTTGTGATACATAGGTCATGGCATTCTGCAAATTCAACAATTATATCTCCATATTCATTTCTTTCACCTGGTCCATAGTTGCCTACTGTGTCAGTTACTCTGCCGTTTCCAACTTTGGCATTGAAGTCTCCCATTATTATTTTGACGTCTCCTCTCTTTGCAAGTCCGAGTGTCTTCTCAAGCTGTTTGTAGAATTCGTTTATGACTTCTTTCGGGGAAGCTTCTGTTGGTGCGTACACTTGAATAATGCTTATAGCCGTGGGGTATGATGCTATGCACAGAAAGAGAATGCGGTCTGATATTGCTGCTACTTCGTTGACAGCTTTTGTGATGTCTTTCCCGATGAGCATTCCAACACCTCTTTTGTGTCAATCTCCTCCAGAGAAAACAGTCATAGGTGTCATTGTTTTTTATCCAACTGTTGTTGGTCCATTTCATCTCACTAACACCGAGGGTGTCCCTCTTCAGTTCTGCTTCTAATACAAGGTTATGTAATTTGCCTTTGGCATACAGCTTTCTTACATTCCACGTGCCTATGTTGTTTATGTTCCTTGTGATGATTTTTGGGGTATTGTTTATTCTTTAGTTTCCAGTAGTCGATTTGCTGCATATAGCCTGGTCACTCACTGATATGCACCTAGTATCATATTTCTCACTATCTGACCTGGACTCAGAATGGCGCTGATGGCCAGTCGGATTGCATGGCAGACTAGGCGCATGTTGAAATGAGATCATGAGGGTTGTAGATACATTTGTATACTAGGAATAAGTAATGTTGTGTTTTCCCATTACCGTCCACATCGCAGAACTGGAACCAATTTTGACCAATACAATCTTGCTTCCAGCTTCCTGGTCACAAGCCTTTCTAATGAATAGTGTGTTCAGAACTGGCCTTGCTGCTTCCCAAGACCAGGGACATTTTTTGACGTCCAGTCAGATCCACCGTGTTTTGCATTAACAGTGGCACCTCGAGTAGGGTGTGATTTTTCACCATGCATGAGCAGTCTTGGCAAGAGTGAGGCTGACGAACTAAGTAGTTTGTAATTACTTCTTGTGCCCTAGGTAATAGTAACAATGTCTTTATTGACATTAATATATTTAAAATTAATCATTTAAAAGAATTCATACATAGAGAATAATCTAAAATTCAGGGTTGGAGTAAACCATCAACTTTTAATTTTCGTATGATTTAAAATTTAATTTTAAAACATTATTGGAAACTTCAAAATTTTATGTAGAGGAACATAGTTTGTTTTAATCATCATTCCAGCTATATTGGTGAAAAATTTTTAAATATTTAATCATAATAAAATGGAAATTCAATTAATAATTTAAATCATAAAATATTTAAATTTTCAGTAAATTATTCTGTTAACTTTAATAAAAAAATTGACCAATTGGGAAGTGAGATTGTTTTTTCTGGATATTCTGCACAGGGTACTGGAAAACTTGAGTATAAAGTATGTAAAAATTTGCTCTGTCCTGTGAACTTCTATTTAATTGTTTTTTATAGTTGGGTAATTTAATAATTAGTTTATGACCAAAAACAGAACACTGAAAGACTATGTTGAGATTTTTAAATTTTCATCATTATTTGAAGATTCAGTAGGGGAAAACACTCATAAAGTTATGTTTATGAAGCAAAATAAATAACATCTTCAGTAACAGGTAATTATTATTATTAGTATTTTTTTAAATTTAAAACAAATATTTTATTTTTACTATAAAAATATTTATTTTTAGAAATGAATAAGTATTAAAATGTTTTAAATAATTTGTTTATTATTTCTTGATTTATAGATAAAGGATCAACTAAATCGAACAGTTGACAGTTTTCATTAAATACAATTTCTGGAGTGTACATCATAGAAAATGGGCTAAAAGTAATTTCATGGTATTTATAAATAATAATTGTAAAAGTATTAATAGAATAATTCTAGGATTAATAATAATAATAATATATATATATATACACTAAATAATATAATATAATATATAGAAATATATATTATATTTATTATATATACAGTCGACCCCTCCATAACACAGTAGATACGTTCCGGTTTTTATGAAATCCATTTTCTACGAGTCTTTAAATACATGAGCCAATCACAGCCCAGCACGTATGCAGTTTACAGACTACAGCTGTTTGAAAGGTTTTCTTCCATAAAATTAATCGATTCTAGTCTAATTCAACTCAACATTTCCAAAATACGTATAATTTTTTGGGAATAATCCATATAAACTATGCTATAAACAAAAAATAGTAGGATTACTTACTGAATGTGCACCATTCGACGACACCATTGCTTAAGCTTGTTTTCATCGTGGAGCAGTGCATCGAATGGTGCTCGTGTGCTTCCTGATAAATTATTTTTCTTCGAAAACTTTGCTGTACTTTGGAGACATGATTAATATAAATATAATTTTTATGGACATTAAATAATAAATGGTTTTTAGTAGGTCCGCTGCACGTTTAAACTCAACGGTTTGTGCAATATTTGCTATTGGTCTAGATTCGACCGATCCTATTGCGACACGAGTCAGCAATGACATTTTACCGTATTATACGAGTCTCTTTTAGTGTGTTTAAACGAATATGGTCACAATTTTTTTGCTATCATATAGGAATCCGAACTATATGAACCCGTTTTATAGGGGGTCTACTGTATATAGAAATTAATCATTTTTATTTTGCCATTTTCTTTTCTGAATAATTCTACTATAGTGATCAGTGAATTTAGTGTACTAATAGTTATTAAAATTTTGTCTATTGACAATATTGTAGATCATAACAGAAAAAAATTTTTATTTTATTTTGTTGGACAAAGAATGATAATCACAAATTAGGAAAATATTTACAATATAAATAAATAAATATATAGACACACACACACACACACACACACAAAATATTTAAAATTAAAGAGTGATCTTGTTATTTCTTACTTAAAATTTCTCTCTCAAAATATGATTTAGAGAGAAAATAAAGTTTGATTATTTATGTATAATTTCATAGAAAATTCAGTTTTTCACTTTCACCGGATGCACAGTGGAGCCAAATTCCAAAAAGCTGGCCAAAAGTCAAAAGCGTTATCAATTTGGCTGAAAGTCAGTATTCGAGGGTTTTCGGGATCTCTGATTATGAATCCGAAGTCAAAATTTGAAATAAAAACAAAATGACAGATTTAACACGAACCACTTTTATAGAAAAAGTACAAAATAAATCCATATATTGTTTAATACGATAAAACATACAATTGGTTGATTAAAAGTTCATGCCGTGTCATCCAAAGAATAATTTGATTCACAATCAGATGATTCAAGTTTGAAATCGCTGGAGCTTCCCATACTTGCTGGTATACGTGGCGCGACTAACAATAAAACTGCTTCTGGAAGCAACGACTTTGAGTTTTTTCGAGGTAATTTGCACAAACTCGAAATAAACAGATCGGATATTAATAATAGGCGTAAAATAATGTCTTCCATTGTTTTTGCTCGGGAACTTTTTTTGCAAAATCTTCTCGAAACTTTTTAATGTATTTATTAGTAGACTCTTGAGCGTCTTCGGACATCTGCCCTATCAGCAATACCGATGAATTTATCACTTCTGCACCATAAATCAATATCTTATGTACCAAAATTGGCATGCAGAACCACGGATATAACTGCACAAAGTAACGAGCTGTCTGTAAGGCATAATTTTGAAATTCTATGAAATTGATTTCATGACCACACGAAATTGTCTGTAATATGATAGGGAAATGCTTAATCAAGTCCTCATCAACCTCTGTAATAGCAGCAGAAATGCTTGAGTTTTCGAAAAATCGTTGAGCGGTATTCCCATCATTTGAGCTACCGAAACCAGGCTTTGGTTGATCCACTATTTAAACCCAATTCTATATGGAAACCATTCTATATATTCGTTTTTCAGACTCTTATTTGTTTATTTTCTTTATCACTATTCGCTTGCAACAGTTTGATTTCAAGCTTATATGCTACATGCAAACAACATTCAAAACACACAGACAAATTCAAGAAAAAGAGCAAAACATTCCGTGTCGTTAATTACAAAATTTAGAAAACTATGTTTCACATTGCAAGAACTCACAACAATGACACAATTGCAGCTAGTTTTTTTTCATTCAATAATACTTCCATCTACAACATGCAATTGGTCCAGTCGCAGAACTCTACAGAATTTATGAACTTTTCTCTACATGTTTAAAATTTTCTGTTGTAATCTTCCATTCATTTTCGTACAAATCATTCATTTACTGTTATCACATAAAATATTATCATCAATTTTGTGTTACATAATGATATTCTACTTACTTGCAGCTGCGGATTCCATTTTTTAAATTTAAATTCGATTGATTTTTAGAGATTTGGCACCCTCTTGAATATAGCGTAGAAATCTTTGCTTACTGCATGACGCCTGTAGCTCGATTGAGGATCCCCTTTCAACTGAACTACAATAGCAGGTATAAAGGATAGGGGGCGCTAAAGTCTAGAATTCGACCTTTGGACTCTTATCCAACCTAACCCACGACTAGAAATTACCGGTACTTAAACTCTATTTTTCGACTTTTGGCCAGCTTTTTAGGATTTGGTCCCATTGTGGGATGTTTTAAATGAAATAAAGTTACTTAAAGAAACAACTTTATTTTTCATTTTGGAAAGTATTTTATGGTCATCAGTTTTTTTTTTGTATAAATACCATTTTATTTTAAAATTTTGATCTTGGCTATTAACTGCATTGAAAATATTTAAATGGTAAGAGCATTACTGAATTTTAAGTAGGGTTTTTTTTTGTTCTTGTTGTTATGAAAATATTTGTGAATTACTTGAAAAAATACTTTAGATAGATTAAAATTTATTTCTAGAGTATCTTTTAATCAAAATTTTATATATTAAATATAAATTTCCAGTATTCTATTGCTAACTATAATATCATAAACAAAAATAGAAGTATGGGCTACTTCAAATTTATTGTTATTTGGAATACTTCTACTACTATGAATAAAATTATTGTTGAATATAATAAGCCAGACTGTTTAATTTTATCTTTATGCTTCATTGAATTCCAGACTGAATTTGGATACATTAAGAATGATAGACAAACTTTTAAATAATAATATAATTTTATGTGATAGATTGCTTGATCATCAATTTTAAAATTATGTAAACATCTTTACACTTGAACTTAATGTTCATTTATGTATATGTTAATTATTTTTTCAATATATTAATATTTTTTCATTTTAATTATGGCAACTATTATCTGATATGGAAAACTATAAAAACTGAAAAAATTGTTACTTTTGAAAAGTGTTTTTCATAATACTTCTTAAATAAATAGTATTTAAACTATATGTTGATATATAAGAACATTATATGAGGAATATATAATACACAAAATATGAGGAAGAGTGAAAATAAATTCAGATTGATTTTTCTTATTTATCATTATTCTAGATGAAACAATGGTGATTTTTTTTGAATTATTCTTCATAGAATTGAATGTGCTTTTGCCATTGTTGCTACTAGATCTAATAGCCCAACTTGTTAGATGTTGTTCAAAATTCCTCCACTGTTATAGATGGAAATGTTTTTTCTGTAACTTCATATAGAGTGCCACTTAGGGACCATCGTTTTGGCAGGGATTTGATTTACATCGGCTCAACGAAACGTGCTGTTGGGATCATGTTGAAAGAACACATGCGTGACATTCAACATAATAAATGTTCCACGTCCATATCCACTTACGCATCTGATCCAGAGATAGTAGCAGACTTTTCAAATGCTAAGTTAATTATCACTTCCTCATATTTAGACCATCTCAAATGGTTGGAACAGATAGAGATATACAAGGCATACAGCACTTCGTCACCTATTAATTCCAGAGATGAGATCTCTCTTTCTTTGTCATGGCAGGCCTTAATACAACAGGAGGATTAAGTGAATCGTAAACCTAAAAGAAGGGAAGTAAAAGGGGTAGTCTGTATTTATGTGATATGTTTGTTATGCTTAACAACAAAGATCTTCGTAAAATCTTTAAAAAAAGGGAAACATTTAAATAATTCTCGGTGTGATGTAGAAGCTTTGACATTCGGAGCTAGTGATTATGTGATTCCTTTCTATCTTTCTGTATTTAAAAATCGTTTCAAATGAACGTTTTTTCTTATTTAATAATGCTTCAAACAATTTTTTACCTGAAGAAGGACCCAGGAGGGGTCTGAAAACGTTTGTAGTATTAAATTTTATTTCGCATCGGTTAAAGGTTTTTCTGAGGTACGTGATGTTTGGTTATTTCCGATGTGCAGTTGTTCATTATTATTGAATGTGACATTCTTAAACACATGATGGATCCAATTTTCTAGTAAAAACGTTGGGGATCTGGCTTTATCAATTTCAGGACGTTAAGTGTTGACCCAGTTTGTGCATTTTTGCAAAGGCAAACAGGCAGGAGGTTTCAGGAGAGCTGACTATTGTGTGCTATAGGCCTAGTGCTGTTGCTATGCTAGTGCGTGTGTACCTATAAACATGATTTTATGGTTTTGTTATATATGAGGCCTCAACAAGTTGACATTGCATATCCACTATGTACTGCTTTAACAGATGGACATTTCATGATTACAACCGCTTTCCTTTTATCCGCCTATACCCACTATGTATACCCGATATGTTGATGACATTTTGATTATATGGACTGGATGTTGATGTGTTGCCCACCAGTGGCCGAGTGGTCTTCGTACCCTAAACACTGGGAGTTCGGTCGTGGGTTCGCGCCGCGATCGGACAGGCTGGCTGCTTGGAGTTTTCCGGGTTTTCTCCTTGCCAATAACGACTAAATAGGAGGCCAGTTCCCCATAAAAGTCCTCCCGGAAGGCA